AAGTCCTGAAGATGCAGTGGATATAGGGAAAAGAATGAAGCTATCAGTGGATGATATTTAATATGTGGAATTAGGTGAGTGAAATCGATACAGGGTTCATCTCTAGTTTTTAGGTTCTTTGCCACAGAATTGAGAAAACAGAAGTTTCTGCTATCACCCAGAGAACAGAAAACTAGCAAACTCCATTAATCCTTTGCATTTCTGAGGCAGATGACTGATAAGGGAAAACAGAAGCCCCTGCAAAACCCATGTTTACCAAAACCAATGTATAAGCCACTGTAGCTGGGGAAAAAATGGCTGCTGCTTCCCCTACACCTTCCAAATCTCATAAGAGGTCATCTTTTTAGCTGAACACATAAAAACATTGACATTCCTGTTGACAAGGAGGTCGAGGTCTAGGAAAAATATATATTTTCCAGGTCTCCAGCCACTGAGATTCAGGGGAGAAAAATAGAAATGACTGGGAATGAATGTTCATTGCAAGGAAAACACAATACCTCTTTCAAAGCATTTTGGGAAATATATTCACATGCAAATATGGGTTCATTTTGACAAGAGCTTACCTTACACTGCGTGCACCTAGTATCTAGCTTATTTGCTTCCTTGTTTTAATATGGACTCTTTAAAATAAGTTTATTACATTGGATATTTAAAATAAGCAGAGTTTTTCTCAATTTTTTGGACATTTGAGATAAGTTAGCTAACACAAGCACAAGTTTTGATGTGTGAAAGGACTGAGTTAAACCCTAGTGTGGCACCTTCCTAGCTGTGTGACTGGGAGAAAGTTATCTTTTTTTGAATCTTAATTTCTTGACATTAGTAAAATTGTAATAAAAACACCTATGTCACAGGGGTTTAGTGATAATTAGCAGTAAGATTGCCTTCTATTCACTACTTTGCTGAGGGAGATATTCCTGCGCTTTGGTGATGGGGATGGCCAAACACATGACACTCAACACTGAACAGATGAAATCAACAGTAGTTTATCAGTCACCTATATTCACAACCTGGGGGAGAAGGACACCTCATGCCATGCAGGGCCACACAGTGGTTGCACTTGGGAGCAGAGTAGACAACTAGTGTTGTGTAAAGCAGGTTTTGTAGTATTAAGAGGCTGAGGTGCCCCTGTTTCCCATGGGAGGATTTGATTGGCTTGTTTGAATAATTCCTTAGGCATTCAGGGAAGTGAAACCTGCTACTCAGGGATAAGCAGGAACTGTGCCTGGTCATCCTGATAAGGCTGTTTGATTAAAGGACCTTATCCATGGTATAACTGGGGAGGGGAACTCATGGTTAGGTCATTCAACACCCTCCTCAGTTCACCACATGTCAAGGTAATACATAATATTGAGCCTACATTTTTGGTCTTACACCACATATCCATAAAGTGTCTGTCATATGATTGGAATTTTTAAATAGGCATCTTGGTCATTGCAAAAACAGACAAATTTTTTTAAGTTGAGGATGATTCCCTCTGAGATGTACGTTGATATTGAAAGCTATCAGATTAAAGCAAAAGAGAAGCTCATAAACTAAACATCTAATTGATATCTCCTACAGAGCATTACTGTAATTTGGTAAAACTAAAATACAGCTACTTATTGGAAAAAATGGTCCTGAAATACACAACCTGAAATAAAATAAAATGAAAGAAAAAGTTGTTTTCCTTCCAGACAGATTCCAAAAAATAATGCCTGAATCAGAGCCTGCAGTCATAACCTCTCTACCACTGGTGCCGGCTAATGAGGCATCACTCCAGAATAGGCTGATTGTACAGAAAGGCACTTAAAAGCTTCTACAAATGAACAGGAAATGCAAGCCATTTTACTTACTGACTGTACATTCTGAGACCAAAAAGATAGTTGTGTGAGCTTTTATTTTTTATTTTTCAATCTCAGGAATCTGTGAGATTTCTGAAGCTGCTTGGTGACCCTGGGAAGTACGTGCATCCTGTGTGGGGACCGGTCCCATGGAGTCTCTGTCTGATAGCATACACTATGCTACTGGTAAGGAAACAATCTTTTCTCCTAGTCTTGTTTGGTGTGTTGACTTAAAAAACTATATCCACAACGTGAGAGTTGCAAGTTAAGTTTTATTTGGGGCAAAATGAGGACTGCATCCCAGGAGACAGCATTTCCAATAGCTCTGAGAAACTGCTCCAAGGAGGCGAGGGAAGGAGCCAGGATGTATAGGAGTTTTGCAACAAAGGACAGGTAGTCGGGAATGTCAAAAGATTATTGTTAATTGAAGAAAACCAGACACCCCAAATTAAGGAATTTAGCGCTTTTCTATGTATGGGAAGATATAAGAGTCTGGGCTCACTGAAATCATTCCTTTGATATGCACCTCAGCTATCTGGGGCCAGTATCCAGACACATCTTGAGTTTCCTCAGGGCTCACCACAGGGAGTGGCTGCAGTCTGATGGTTGCTAGATGGCAGGTATTCTTTTCAGCCCTGAATTTCCTTGGCTCACTGGCTCACATTGGAGGGCTGAAATCGTTGACGACTGTGACATCCTTTGTTTGTTGATATGGCAGGAAATATTCCATTTCTCAGTGTCCCTGGGGGAAAGAAGAACATCCTCCCTAACTTCACGGTGAAAATTACTATATCAGGGAAAGCTTCAGGGTGTGAATTATTATATGAGTCTGCAGGTACCATATATAAGTGCTTGCACTATGTACCAGACTCCGTGCCAGATGTGCCACCAAATTCTTTCACTATCCTACCAGACTTGAAGTGTAACTCATATGATGCCTGTTTAATTAGGAGCTATAACTCAGAAAGGTCAGATAACTAAGAGTTAAGGTGTGCCACACAGAACCCAGTCAGTCTACAGTTTTCTGTGCTACATGTTATAAATTATTGTTCATATGTTAATTTTTAAATTTATCTCTAGGGAAAGGCCCACACAGGAATATTCTGGTAAATATGTTAGTTATTGCTCATAAAGAGTAGATTCAATTCAGGAGTTAGTTAAGAAAAGTGGTAATGATCTTGTTTTATCGTTACAGAGAAAGCAGTTATTTTTGTCACTATTATAGTACCTGTGGGCCAATCCCAGTGTTAGGCACTCTCCCACTGTTATCCCAGTAAGCCTTCAGAGCATTCCTTCAGTGAAGTTATTCTCATTCTCAGTTTACAGTGAGGAAATTATGATGCTGACTGTTTAACTGCCTGACCCATTGTAGTGGTATGCTGGAGCTGGCTCACACTGGCTCTTGAGAGCTGATTGTATGCGTCCTTCCCTTGAAATTGGTTATGGTGGATTATTTCCACCACAGAAATCAGAAAACTCTACAAAATATGTACTCCTAGGCCTCTCCTTCTTCCCTTGACGGTTTTTAAACATTTACCAGCATACCACTGACCACGTTAGGTTCCAATGTTGCAGGAAGGGGGACCCCTTCCAGGGCCTGAGAGTGAGCTCTTGTCTAACATTTGGAAATGAATTGTCTGAGGAGACACACGTGCTGACAAAGCAAGAGACTTTGGAAGGGGCACCCGGGCAGAGGGCAGGAGGGTAAGGGAACCCAGGAGAACTGCCCTGCCACGTGGCTCACAGTCTTGGGTTTTATGATAATGGGGTTAGTTTCCGGGTTGTCTCTAGCCAATCATTCTGACTCAGGGTCCTTCCTGGTGGTGTGCACAGCCACCCAGCCAAGATGGATTCCTGCGAGGAGGATTCTGGGGGGATGGTAGAACAGATGGACTGGTGTCTCCTCTCCTTTTCACCTTTCCCGTATTCTTCTGGTTGGTGGTGGCTTGTTAGTTCCATGTTCCTTACCAGGATCTCCTGTCACACAATTACTCATGCAAATTGTTACTGTCTTTGCCTGGCCAGGGCAGGCAGTTTCAGTCAGTATTTCCCCTAACACCAACTCTAGTTTTTTCAGCTACTAACTATACGACCTTGGATAAGTTGCTTATCCTGAGCTTCACTTTCCTTATATCTAAAATCAGTAATTAATTGTCTGTATTGTCTATGTTGTTTTGTGGATTTAACAGTTTGTATTCCCTTGGATTTGGGGGTAAATTAAGCCAGTTCCTGGAATATAGTTAACATCCTATAAATAATAATGATTTTTCAACTTTCTCTAGAAAAATCTATCATCAAAAAGAGTTTGAGAAAAGACTTTGTGCATTTAGTGGATATGGCATGCTAAAGCCACGAGGAAGAGACTGTATTACAGAGGAGGAGCACCTGAAGCACTCATTTACCAAGTATCTGTCAGAACCACTGTCTTTAAAATGGATATTAATGGTATGCTACCTGCTAATCCCCTCCTTCCTGAGCCAAGGAAGTGCCCTTTTCCACAAAATATTAGAATGACTTGGAGCTGTCTGAATGATGACTGTTGAGTTAGAACAAAACAAAAATCAATTCATATTTTCTTATAGGAACAATTAATAATTTCAGACAAAATACTCCCAAAAGGATAGATCACAGTGTTACCATAGCATTTTGTGCTGTTTTCAGTAGGACTTGGTCTCTGCCATAATTCCAGAAATGTAACTCTGTGGCCTAAGTCTTAATTACGTTATACACTGGACGTTGCTTAAAGTAGCAAAAAATTAAGAATTTTTCCTCTTTTTTGAAATTTTTCTTATTTTCCATAAGTCTTATTTATTCGTTTAAGGATTTGGAAATAAATTTTATTTTTTTGAATAAAAAAATGTATAAGTATTCAGTAGGCATCTCTGATGTATCTAGATATGTTCAAATAGAATAACTAGGATGTATATATGACACATACACACATAAAAACTGACACATAAACTGAACTCTATTAGATGTTTTGCTGGCAAAGGAGTTTTATTAAAACCTTTGTAATGGGGCTTCCCTGGTGGCGCAGTGGTTGAGAGTCCGCCTGCTGATGCAGGGGACACGGGTTCATGCCCCGGTCCGGAAGATCCCACATGCCGCGGAGCGGCTGGGCCCGTGAGACATGGCCGCTGGGCCCGTGAGACATGGCCGCTGAGCCTGCGCTTCCGGAGCCTGTGCTCCGCAACAGGAGAGGCCACAACAGTGAGAGGCCTGCATACCGCAAAAAAAAAAAACACCTTTGTAATGAATGAATTTATTGCAGCATTCATCATAACTATAAAAAACTGAAAACAAAAACTACTTACTGCCTACGAATTACAGACCTTTATATTTTTTAATGTGCAAATACACACATAGTTATATACAAAGTATGCTGGAATTTTTTAAATGTTCCGAAAACCAGAGCTGCTAATATCATGGTCTTAACCTGCTGTGGCAAACTCTTGTCTAATATTATCTCCATTCCCCACAAGATCCTGGCAGTAGATAAGAGCATCCACATTTTACAAAACTGAGCTTCAGAGATGTTCAGTGACATAGTATTCTTAACTGGAAAATAAATGCACAACCTAAAAGCTGAGAATTATGTTTTATTCAGCAGACATGCTGAGGACTTAAGCCTGAGAGACAGTCTCTTAGATAGCTCTGAGGGACTGTTCCAAAGAGGTAAGGGAAGAGCCAGGATATATATAGGAGTTTCTGCAAACCAAAACAAAACAAAACAAGAACAAACAAACAAAAAAAAACCAGGTAGTCGGAACATCAAAGGATTACTGTTAATTAAAGAAAAACCAGATATCTCAAGTTAATGAATTTAGCACTTTTCTATGTTTGGGAAAATGCAAGAGTCTGGGCTCACTGAAATCATTCCTTTGATATGCACCTTAGCTATCTAGGGCCAATATCCTGTTTTCTACATCCTGAATGCCCTCAGGGTGCACCATGGGGAGGGGGGGTACAGTGGCTGATGGCTTAATGGCCACAACATCCTTTGTTTACTGATCTGGCAGGTGACATTCTTTACCCACAGTGTAATCTCACTAAATCCAAAGACTACCCTAGCTGTTCTGACACATAGTCCTGACCCAAGTCAGCCTTTCCCCAAGATCTATGACTCCCCTAGAAGATTCTAGTATGAAGATAATTCTGAAAAGTGATGATTTACTAGTCTTAACTGTCACCCTGCTCTGAGTTTGACTAAAGAATAAGGACACAGCTTCTTTCCATGGTCCACTCACTCAGAGTTTGCTTCAGCTTCACCAGGTTTGGAAGCTGTGGCTTGGACCATGATTACATGAGTCTAAGGAAACTGGACACGTCCTGGGTCAGTCCTGTGGTTGCTCTAGGGTCTGTTCCAGGGAACCACACTGCTGTCTACCAAGCGTGTAGAGACGCCTTTATCAAACACACATTCCTACTCTAGAATCCAGGAGTCCTCATAAACTTTTTCTTTGGGGCACAAACAACTAGAAGTAACACCCTGGGCTCTGACATTTTCAATCTGTGTGACCTTTAACGAGACATTCAATCACTCTGAGCCTATTTCCTCATCTGTTGTGTGGGGGGCAACAACTGCCTTGCAGATTGGCTCTGAAGATTTCGTGGAGTAATATATATTAATTACCTGACATGGTGGAGGAAAGGTGCCAATAAGCAACATAGTTCCCTTCCCTCTTCCTCTTACTACATATTCTATCCCTTGGCTTTAGCTACGAGCTCCAGATTCATTATTCCTTGAATCCCATCTCACCTCAAATCACTGCTGCCTCATTTCCTTGATCTGGCTACTCAGCTTCTGAAACAGAAGAAAGATTTTTGTTAACCCAAAGGCAAAGTTCCTGGTCACAGCTTCAATTTGGAAGGCAATTTCCTGATATGGTTCCCCATTATTTACCACATCTCTCTCTAGTTAAAACTTATGGACATTTACTGGGTACCCACCATGAGCCCTCCCTTGTCTCCTACATTTCCTGCAGATCAGCAGCTCACTCTCCCTTCCTCCCTCCACAGCAGCCTCTAGATCCTCCAGACTCCATCTCCTCCCCCAGTCCTTTGCACAAGGAGGACAATTTCTATCTCTCCTTCAGGCCCCTATCTGCATTCTCACTCCAAGAAACTCAATCACAAAGAGCCCTCTTCAGACGCTCACCCCTTAATAGTTCTCAGGAAGGTGTAGGTAACAATTATTTAATGTTCTCAGAAAGACTTTAAAATATTCATTTTCCTCTGTTCTAGCAAGCCTCAGTGTTGACTGTACAGGCAGTGGGCCACAGGATCTGGGGAGTGGCCTATGGGATGAGGAGCTGCTGAAAGTGTGAAGAGGAGCTGGCCTGAAAACCAGGGAAGTCTGTATCAGTGAGAAAAAGGGGAAAGGATTCAGGGGGAAGTACTTGGGAATAATAAAGTGACAGTGCACTCCATGTGGGCGTTAGCATCTAAAAACCTTGAGTTAGAGTTCAGGTTCTCCCTTATCCTAGCTGTGTGACCCTGGGCTGTTGCCTAACTTCCCTGGGTCTTAATCTCATCTGTGCTTATGGGAAGAACATTTTTCTAGAAGAGCTATTATGAGTATTGAAAAAGAGAAGATATGTAAAGTAGTTAGTATAATGCACATACTAGCTTACTATTACTTGTACAGAATCTTAATTTCATTTTAAGATATTTCATAACATTATTTTGTGTTCTTAATTTTTAGAGTTATGTTTCACTTTAAAAGATACTTTTTTATTTCAAAAAATGAAAACATTTTAATAAAAGTACAGATTGTGCACAGATAAAGCAAAAACCGTACGACTGACACTTGAATGATTGAGATTAAGGAAAAGCTGCAGTAAATCATTACATGTACTATAAATACTAGCTTCTGTGTGGACTACCAAAGATAATGAGTCAGATTTCTTTGCCCTCAAAAACTCAGCTGATTAGAAAGAATAATTTGCTTGGTACCTGTATGCAAGAGCAAAATATGTGGTGCCTACATCAATAATATCTTCTGTACAATGTCCACACTGGGAGAATGATTTTCTTATCAATGTTACTCACAAAAGGATAACTAATTCAAAATTTAGTGGTGCTTAACAGGATTTAGACAGTGAACTGGATGCTGGGTTTACAAAGCCCAACGAAATCTTGCCCTTGCCCTCAAGGATCTCATAATCTAGTGGGAGAAACAAAGACCTTCATTCAATGGATGAATATTTATTGAGTGAATACAAATGTCAGGAACTGTTCTATAATCAGTATCACACAGCTAGCTAGTGGCAAAGTCAATTTTCAATTCTGGGTCTCTTGACTCCAACCTGCAGTATGTTCTCATTTCTGTCTTCCAAAACATGTCCCATGGCTCTTTTGGTTCTACTTAAAATCTGTTGAACTCTCTAAAGAAACTTTTTCTGCTACCTCTCACAGGGGAACCCTGGAGGTGAAAGATCTGCCCAGCTCTGAGTGGCTGAAGGCACTGAGCCAGGCCTTTAACTGCCCCTTTCCAAAATAACAATTGTTTCTTTTTTTTTAACATCTTTATTGGAGTATAATTGCTTTACAATGGTGTGTTAGTTTCTGCTTTATAACAAAGTGAATCCGCTATACACATACACACGTTCCCATATCTCTCCCCTCTTGCATCTCCCTCCCTATCCCACCCCTCTAGGTGGTCACAAAGCACAGAGCCGATCTCCCTGTGCTATGTGGCTGCTTCCCACTAGCTATCGATTTTACGTTTGGTAGTGTATATATGTCCATGCCACTCTCTCACTTTGTCACAGCTTACCCTTCCCCCTCCCCATATCCTCAAGTCCATACTCTAGTAGGTCTGTGTCTTTATTCCCATCCTACCCCTAGGTTCTTCATGACACTTTTCTTTTAGATTCCATATATATGTGCTAGCGTACGGTATTTGTTTTTCTCTTTCTGACTTACTTCACTCTGTGTGACAGACTCTACGTCTATCCACCTCACTACAGATAACTCAATTTCGTTTCTTTTTATGGCTGAGTAATGGGCAGAAGACCCAAATACACATTTCTCCAAAGAAGATATACAGATTGCCAACAAACACATGAAAGAATGCTCAACATCATTAATCATTAGAGAAATGCAAATCAAAACTACAATGAGATATCATCTCACATGGTCAGAATGGCCATCATCAAAAAATCTACAAACAATAAATGCTGGAGAGGGTGTGGAGAAAAGGGAGCCCTCTTGCACTGTTGGTGGGAATGTAAATTGATACAGCCACTATGGAGAACAGTATGGAGGTGCCTTAAAAAACTAAAAAGAGAACTACTATATGACCCAGCAATCCCATTACTGGGCATATACCCTGAGAAAACCATAATTCAAAAATAGTCATGTGGGCTTCCCTGGTGGCGCAGTGGTTGGGAGTCCACCTGCCGATGCAGGGGACACGGGTTCGTGCCCTGGTCCAGGAGGATCCCACATGCCGCAGAGCGGCTGGGCCCATAAGCCATGGCCGCTGAGCCAGCATGTCCGGAGCCTGTGCTCCGCAACGAGAGAGGCCATGACAGTGAGGGGCCCACATAACGCAAAAAAAAAAAAAAAAAAAAATAGTCATGTACCAAAATGTTCATTGCAGCTCTATTTACAATAGCCAGGACATGGAAGCAACCTAAGTGTCCATCAACAGATGAATGGATAAAGAAGATGTGGCACATATATACAATGGAACAATTGTTTCTGAAGAACTGTTCTCTTAGCATTGGACCCCATTGAGATGGCAGAAACAAAGAGGCAACTGTAGCTTCACAGCCCTTTATACTGGGTAAAACCCACCTTCCACAGAAGGGCCCAATATTGTGGCTCTCACTTTCCAAGCTCTCCACTCATTCCTAATGTAAACAAAAAGAACAAAGAGTGTTGCTCATCATCTAGTTATGCAAAGGGTTAAGTTGCAACCCACTGCAGTAGCCCACTGACAGTGTGCCCTAAGGGAACTCGGGATGAGGTGGGGGTGGGGGAAGGATGGAACATTCTGTGCTTTGGATACGTGGGCCCCTAGATAGTTAACATGCATATCTAAGGAAGAATTTCAATGACCCCTGCTCCTTGCATCTTCCTATACATAGAAAAGCACTAGAATCATTAACTTGAAGTATATGTTCTTTGTAGTTAGCAGTCATTTTTTACCAAGATGTATGCTTGACTACATGTATTTCCCAGCCAAAAAAATGTGTATGTATCCTGGCTCCTCCCCTACCTCTTCAGAGAAGTTCCTCAGAGCTCTGAGAGGCTGTCTCCTGGGCTATAGTCCTCAGTAAGTCCCAGAATAAAACTTAATTCACAACTTTTACATTGTGCAATTTTCTTTAAGATGACACTAACACAAAGCACATTTCTTATCTGTGCTCTGACTGAGAGTGATCTGGTTCTTTACAGGGAAGCTAAGCCTTGCTGTATGCCTGGATTTTCCAGACATGAATCCTACTGGGAACAGGATGACTGTCTCATTGGGAATTATACCTGCTACTACATATGAAATAAGTATTGCCATAACGAGTGGAAAGAGGATCAGCTTTAGTGTCAAAATACTTAGTGTAAGTCCCAGCTTTAGCACTATTTAGTTATTTACCCTCTCAGCAACATTGAGAAAACCCCATTGAGAAAAAAAATTATGTATATATTATATATATACATATATAATACATTGTAATTATATATAATAAATATATATATATATATAAATTTGCATGGCACAGAGTAGATCATCAAGAAAGGTTATGATTTATTAATCTGTTTATGTTTCTCCCCCAACTAGACTCTTAACATCTTGATGGAAGGACTTCTATATGATTCATCTCTGCACCTCCATACCTAGCACAGCTCCTAACATACTTGGTGTCAGGGTATTCTAGTTGATCAAGTACATTCTTGGTCTATTCCTCTGCAAGATAATGTGATTCCATTTGAAAGTGTATCCAACACTTCTATGAAAACTACTAACCCACCAAACAGAAAATTCAAATTTTCCTGTATTATGACTTTTAACTTGGTTATTTTTACTTGAGGCTTTGATTTGGATGTTTCTAGATGTGGACCAGATTTGTTTCTTCACATTCTACACTAGGCTGGGTGATAAACACACCCAACAGTTAAGGTACAATAAAGGCAACTCGACAATATCATCGTTACCCAAAATGTCACAGAATCCCTTGTGAAGGTGAAGATTTTTATCAAAATGGTTGTATGGAGTGATGGCAAAGTAGACTATCCTCTTTTCTGAGTGACTACTTGAAGTTTTATGTATGTTGAGGGAACTGAGGCTCCAACTTTTTAAACAGTTTATCCAAGGTTACACAGCTATTAACTGCTGGGAATGTAATTGGAATGCAGATCTGTATTACGATAAAACTCAAGATTATTCATTATATCCTGCAGAAGAAGGAAACATCCAACACAGCCAACACCATCCAGGGAACTAGTGTTTTAAGCAGATGAGGAACTTATCTAAGTTGTAAACTCTATACACCACCAAAACTGAACATAACCAAAAAAACAGTACTCAGTGAAATAATTCTTTAGATTAGTCATGGTGGTGGTGTAAGGAGCACAGGATAGGGAGCACAGGATAGGGAGCCAGAAAAACTTGAATTCAAATCCCAACTCCACTCTAATCTTTGGTCTCCTTTAATATAATTAGCATCAATAGCAAAATGTTATGAGAATTAAACATGAAGTGCTTAGCACAGGACCTGGCACATAGATTGTTCTCAACCAATGTTGGATGACTTAAACCCGTCCCTTTCCTTCTACTTAGGCAATGTTAAGCATTTACCCCCCGATCATAGATTTAATTTCTACTACAAAAGCAAGTTTTGTGTTATTTTTGTCTCTCTCCCTTGTGGTGAAGCTAAAAGATGGGAGTTAAAGTTCAAAGCAGTTAGCAAATAATATTTAAGCAACATTAGCTAATTATTTAATAATTATTGCAAATTCAGACATTGGAACGCCAAGCTTTTGAAAATGATTTTACTCATCTTAAATTATGCATTCTTTCAATGTTATTCTAATAGGTGAATATTAACATGGTTATGCTGAGTTCTGCAAATAAAATTCCATTGACATTTTGATTGGGATTGTATTAAGCCTGTAAGTTATGGCCCTTGCACTCTAGAAATAAAGTTTTGTCTACCATCATCATTAGGGGACCACCTATCCCATAACTCCCCTCCTGTGTTAGCACGCCTTTCTCCTCTTTCCCCTTCCCTTTGACACAGGTCTTTGCAAAGATTGGAAGGGCATAATGCGTTGTGGAAGTGTTGAATTATTCAATTATAATGAATTATACAAAAGGACACATAGATGAGACATGGGAATCCTGCCTAATGATTACAAAGGATCCCTGTGACACGGCTAGAACCTGGGGACTTTATAATCTGAGAGGGGCATTGTGATTGCTTCCTTATCACCCCAGCTACCACCTCAATCATCCCCAGCTCTGCAAAACTGTCTCTCCATTTATCATTCAAACCTTCTTTCAAAACTCTCAATTTTATCATTTCTTTTTAACTAACTGTTGTGAATGCCATCATTTCTCTCATTATGTTTTGTATGTGGTTCCTGCTGATACATGTAAAAGTTATTGATATCTTAAATAGTCACTGCTTATTCTAGCTTTTTATAGAATTCACGTATAGCAAGGCATTTTATGTTGTTTCTAATGTGTTTTCCAAGAATACACTGCTTTCATCTTCAAGCAATGATTATTTTTTCTCTGTCCTGAAAGTTATAGGCTTTTTTTTTTTTTTTTTTTTTTGCGGTATGTAGGCCTCTCACTGTTGTGGCCTCTCCCGTTGCGGAGCACAGCCTCCGGATGCGCAGGCTCAGTGGCCATGGCTCACGGGCCCAGCGGCTCTGCGGCATGTGGGATCCTCCCGGACCGGGGCACGAACCAGTGTCCCCTGCATCGGCAGGCGGACTCTCAACCACTGCGCCACTAGGGAAGCCCCCTTATTTCTTTTTAACATATTTTTATGGTGGAGAGAATTTCTAAAGCAGTATTAGGTAGTAGGGATAATGAGCATATTTGTCTTGGTCCTAATTTTAATGGAATTTCCTCCAGTGGTATAAAATCATTTTGTGTCTTTTTACAGAAAAAAAACCCAAAACTTCACATCAATATAGCCTACTACATATCTACTTTTAAAATATACATTTTTAAAAAATGGGAATAGGTGTTGTATTATTATTGAGTGCATTTGGAAAATCTATTGAGTGTATAAAATAATTTATATCTGTATAATACAGTCTTCAAATCCAGTTGCACAGTAAATATTTCAGCTTGTTCAAATCACCTTTTATTCTCACTCCATTTAATATTTGTCCTCATATAGGACCCATTTCTCTTTTATATTATTCTTAAGGTATTTTGTTTTTATTACCAGTGTCAATAAGTCATTATTTATGGTATATTGGGAAATACCAATCTGGGAGGAGTTGTGCATATAGATGATTTACCAAGCACTTTGACTAAAAGACTTATTTTCACCAATAACTCTCTTTGTTTTTCTAGATATACAATCAAATTGCTTATAAATAAGGAATTATTTGTTTAACCAGTGTTATGCTTGTTAGTGTACATTTTAATTTTGTAGGGGACCCTATACAGACTGTTTACTTTTCCCCCAAATCTCTACTGTTTATGTTTTACTTTAAAAATTATTATGTTTTTAATCAGAAAAATGAACTAAAATACCCAAGACAAAAACTATATATTTCGTATTTGCTAAAAATGTAAAATATAAAAATATTTACCCATATAAATAAACAGAAAAATGACTGAACAGGAAATATGTGAAAATGTTATGAGTGGTTGCTTTCTTTTCCCCCATTTCTAAATACATTAATGACTTTCCATTCTCACAACTAAAAATGCTACTAAAATAATAATACTAAGTCAGTCAAACAAAAAGTATCTTTAGCAACTCAATAATCTGGCAGGCTGCAACAGAAAAAAAGCTAACATGTAATGTTTTAGACTACATGTATTAATCACGCTAACAGACTTTATTTCCAGTGATCTTTGTTTGAAGAGGAATTAGACCTTGGTCCATTCTAGATAGTTATAATGAACCTCCATCAAGCTCCAGCCAGTGAAATTTCAAGCTTTTACTTGTATGAAAAGCGGTATGTGATGAGCAGCAAATGAAATCTGGAACAAGAAAAGGAATGTGACAAAGTCTTTATTTCTATACGTTACCTCCATCCCTCAAAATGGACTTCAGCTGTGATCGTTTTTCTCCGAACCCTGAATATATCACTTGAAATGTGTGATGGAGAAAACACAAAATCTGGAAGAGCATATATGGATTGAAATATGTACTTACCCATTTCTTAAACTCGGAGCAGTGCCTTGCTGCCTCATTTTCTTCATCTGTAAAATGGGGCCAACAATAATTATTAGAGCAACAATGTAATCAGGACCTAGGGAACATGCATGTTTATCAATACTACCCTTGACTATTCTTGAATAGAAGGAAAATATCTAGTAACACAAAACATCCATATTTAGCAAGGACATCATTTTCATACTTACAAATGAACAAGGGAGTATCTGGAAATTCACACATAAAGGACAAACCCATCCATTATTATGATCTCTCAAAGAAATACCTGTAAATAAAACTACCATCTTCTTTTTGCCTGATTGCTCCAATGATACCTTCCCTCTAGAGAGTTAAAAGGTAGAAGAAGTGAGCATACAGAGCACAAGTGGATGGATTTATCTTAGGTGGGAGAAAGAACATCTATTCCACTGTACTTGAAAGGAAGGGAAGATGGATGCTGTGATCAATTTCAAAAAAAAAAATGGAATTCTCTACCCCTCCCTGGGTTACATCCCTTTCCAATGTGACTCTGAAGCTCCTCACATCAAGAGGTGTAGTCTATTTCTCTACAGCTTGAATTGGGGCTAGCCTTGTGACTTGGTTTGACTAATAAAGTGCTGAATAAATGGTATTGTGCTCATTCTGAGTATAGGCCTAAAGAAGACTTGAGTACTTCGGCTCTCACTCTTGGAACTCTGATCAGTTTCCAGGTGAATAATCCTGGGCCAGTTGGCTGAAGGATGAGAGACCACATGCAGCAGAGACAGACAACCCATCCCTTCTGGGGTCATCTTAAAAAATCCAGTTCCTGGTTTATCTGTCAGTTCACCAGAGGAATATGAATGGGTCCAACTGAGACCAGAAGAACTGATTATTTGAGCTAAGCTTTAATTGTTCACCCAGAGTAAGAAGAGCTAAATAAATGGGTATCATTTTAAGCCACTAAGTATAGGGGTTATTTGTTGTACAGCAATAACAAACTGATACAAGAGTGAATGTGGCAAAGTTTTTAGGTTTGGTTGTGAGAAAATGAGAAGAATTCTACCTGATAGAGTGAAAATTCTGGTTATGGTGGCTTGAAGAGTTTGGCTAATCCTCTCTGCAAAAATCAAGTATAAAACTGGAAAAAATTGTCAAAAGTAATGTAGTAAGTTCCAGACAATTAGCTTTGCTGATTGTAATGTAACTGCCTGACATTAAGCTTTTGATTGCTGAGGCATCTATTTCCAACATCCATCTCCAACAAGCACATTGCCCAATACACAACTAGATAAGAAGCTAGGCCACCTCACCCATTTTAGAAATCCCTGGTTGACCTAGATTACTGACAATTTGAGTGATCCTGCTTTTCCCTTCCCATGCTTTAATACCTGCTCTCCTCTTTTAAATTCACCAATAAAGAGTGAACCCCCGAAACCCTAGGTGCCTCACCCTCAACCCCAAATAAAGGCAGAACTTCAGGTTCAGGTTCTTTCTCTCTCTCTGTCTCTCCTCATGACCTCCCTTTGTGGCCCTGGGTATGCCACGTACCCTCCAGGATTTGTAAGTAATAAACCTTGTATTTTTCGAAGTTCCATGATGGTTACTGCTGAGGTGTGTCTTGCTATCATAATAAGCATCACAAGGGCCAGATTGGCTCTGTTTGGGGAAATGTCTGTAGCGGCTCCCCACAAGTAGTAGGGGTCCAGATGAGTGCCCCCAGGCATTTGTAGCTGAGAGCATCACTATTGATAGGCTGAGACCGATACAGAACAAGCAACTATTTTACATCTCTGAAAGTCTACTGAAGGCAAACAACTTACTGAGACACTGCCTTGAAAAACTACTAGAGCTGTGTATAGGAATAGGAGTCTGTGGCCTTGCATGAGGCTATTCCCATACAGCATCTACTTCATTCCCCTTCAGCTATGAAGGTGAAAAGGATAGTTTTACCAAACTATGGGCTGGCCCCCCAAAATTAGCAGCTTTACTCTGAGAGGAAGTAAATTCCATTTGGGTCAGATGGGGAAAAAACAGGTCACCGTTAGCTAACGCTTGTAAACTCATTAGGAAACAAATGGTAAAATCTGTTTATTTGGTTGATGGTGCTTCCCAGAGCAGCTGAGAGTGGAAGCCTTACAACCTCAAGATATTTGAGAACAACCTCTTCCCAAATCATTGCCTGACCACTAAACTATATAGGCACAGGGGTAACCAACAGGAAGACAGAATAAAAAATTAAAATTAAAAACTGAACAGAGATCTCAGTGGCTGCTTACCATGGAATGAGAAATTACAATGCTAAAGCTAGGCAACTCTCCAGAAAAAAAAAAAAACAACAACTCATAAATTTAAAACCAAATCCAGAATTGCTACAATATATTATCTAAAATATCCAGTTTACCACCCAAAGTTTTGAGACAACCAAATCGAAAGTGTGACACATACATAGGAGAAAAAAATAGGCAAAACTTACTCTGAGTTGGCCCAGATGTTATATTTAGCAGACAGATCATTCAAAGCAGTTATTGGGTTGGCCAAAAAGTTCATTCGGGTTTTCCATAACATCTTATGGAAAACTTGAACGAACTTTTTGGCCAACCCAATATAACTACACGCATACAATGGAGATCGGGTTTGGTTCCAGAGCACTGCAGTAAAGCAAATACCACAACAAAGCAAGTCACACAAGTTTTTTGGTTTCCCAGTATATATAAAAGTTGTTTATACTATACCACACTCTGTTAAGTGTGCAATAGGCATTATGTCTAAAAAACTGTACATACCTTAATTAAAAAATAATTTATTGCTAAAAAATTCTAACCCTGACAATGCAGGGTTGCCACAAACTTACAATTTGTAAAAAATGCAGTATCTGCGAAATGCAATAAAGGGGAGCACAATAAAACAAGGTATGCACGTATGCTGAAAGAATTAAAGGAAACAATACTAAAATAATCAATGGAAAATACGATGGCAATGACAAAACAAATAGAGAGTCTCAACAGATAAAGAGAAACTATTAAAAAGGACCAAATGTAAATTCTGGAGTTGAAACGTTCAATAATAAAATTAAACATTCACTACAGGGGTGCAATGGCAGATTTGAGATGTCAGAAGAAAGAGTCAGTGGACTTGACTATATACCAAGAGAGCTACTTAATCTAAAGAGCAGAGAGAATATGATTTAGCAATTCGACTTCTGAGTACTTATCTGAAGGAAATGAAAACATTAACTCAAAAAGAACATTGTAAATCAATTATACTCCAATAAAGATGTTAAAAAAACCAAAAGATACATGCACCCCATGTTCACTGCAGCATTATTTACAATAGTCAAGATACAGAAATAAACAAAATATCTATCAAAATATAAATGGATAAAGAAAATGTGATATATATATAATGGAATATTATTCAGCCATAAATATAATGAAATCTCGAGGGCATTATGCTAAGTGAAATCAGACAAAGACAAGTACCATATGATCTCACTTATATGTGGAATCTACAAAAAAAAAAACAAGCTCAGGAAAACTAAAGAGCTACATGTAAAAGAATGAAATTAGAACACTCTCTAACACCATACACAAAAATAAACTCAAAATGGATTAAAGACCTAAATGTAAGGCCAGACACTATAAAACTCTTAGAGGAAAACATAGGCAGAACACTCTACAACATAAATCACAGCAAGATCCTTTTTGACCCACCTCCTAGAGAAATGGAAATAAAACCAAAAATAAACAAATAGGACCTAATGAAACTTAAAAGCTTTTGCACAGCAAAGGAAACCATAAACAAGACAACCCTCAGAATGGGAGAAAATATTTGCAGATGGAGCAACAGTCAAAGGATTAATCTCCAAAATATACAAGCAGCTCAACATCTAAAAAACTACCCAATCCAAAAATGGGCAGAAGATCTAAATAGACATTTCTCCAAAGAAGATATACAGATTGCCAACAAACACATGAAAGGATGCTCAACATCACTAATCATTAGAGAAATGCAAATCAAAACTACAATGAGGGCTTCCCTGGTGGCACAGTGGTTGAGAGTCCGCCTGCTGATGCAGAGGACGCGGGTTCGTGCCCCAGTCTGGGAGGATCCCATATGCCGCGGAGCGGCTGGGCCCGTGGGCCATGGCCGCTGGGCCTGTGCGTCCGGAGCCTGTGCTCCTTAACGGGAGAGGCCACAGCAGTGAGAGGCCTGCGTACCGCAAAAAAAAAAAACCACAATGAGATATCATCTCACACCAGTCAGAATGGCCATCATCAAAAAATCTACAAACAATAAATGCTGGAGAGGGTGTGGAGAAAAGGGAACCCTCTTCCACCGTTGGTGGGAATGTAAATTGATACAGCCACTATGGAGAACAGTATGGAGGTTCCTTAAAAAACTAAAAATAGAACTACCATACAACCTAGCAATCCCACTACTGGGCATATACCCTGAGAAAACCATAATTCAAAAAGAGTCATGTACCACAATGTTCACTGCAGCACTATTTACAATAGCCAGGACATGGAAGCAACCTAAGTGTCCATCAACAGATGAGTGGATAAAGAAGATGTGGCACATATATACAATGGAATATTACTCAGCCATAAAGAGAAACAAAATTGAGTTATTTGTAGTGAGGTGGATGGACCTAGAGACTGTCATACAGAGTGAAGTAAGTCAGAAAGAGAAAGACAAATACCATATGCTAATACATATATATGGAATCTAAAAAAAAAAAGTTTCTGAAGAACCTAGGGGCAGGACAGGAATAAAGACACAGACATAGAGAATGGACCTGAGGACACAGGGAGGGGGAAGGATAAGCTGGGACGAAGTGAGAGAGTGTCATGGACATATATACACTACCAAATGTAAAATAGATAGCTAGTGGGAAGCAGCCGCATAGCACAGGGAGATCAGCTCAGTGCTTTGTGACCACCTAGAGGGGTGGGATAGGGAGGGTGGGAGGGAGATGCAAGAGGGAGGGGATACGGGATTATATGTATATGTATAGCTGATTGACTTTGTTATAAAGCAGAAACTAACACACCATTGTAAAGCA